AAAGTATTTAGATAAAGTAATATAAAAAAAAGTAGATTGTGTGTTCTTTATTCCAATGAAGGACGATGGAAAGCATGCGATTTTTATATCAAAAACATTTATCTACGTACAGCGCAATTTAGAATTTGTCAAGTGATTCATCTTGTTTAACACAAGTGCTAATAATTTGACGTTATAATAAGTAGCGTTATACATATAGAGAAATATTTGGCTTACGTAAAAGTATTTGACTTCTTATAAAAAAGTAAAAAAATTCTGCATATATACGAGTACAAGATGTCTCAGAACAATCAACTGCTATTATAAAAAAATAATACTGATATAGTACAATTTGCAAAAACTTTGAATGACAATAAGTAATGAAAATTAGAAGATATTTTATGCTAATTTTAAATATACAGAAATGATACTTTTTAAAACAATAACAATAAATTCAAATTAAAATAACTTTATAAAAAAACATTTTCTTTTTTTAATATACACTGTCGTTTTTTTTTAATAGAATGAAAAATCCAAAAATCTTGGCAAAACTTCGTAAAATGCTGGCAATGAGTGGATTTGCGGAAAAAGAAACGACCCCTTGATGAGGACCTTTTTTAGATATTGCAGCGAGAGAAAAGTGGCTTCTATGCGAATCATGAGGAAAGACCGATAACGCAGGCGCGACACATTTAAGAAAAATTCATCCTGTATATTGGAGCGAAGGTAAAAAATTTTTTACTATGTCCCGAAAGTGCTCAACACGATTTGCGACGGTGGGGATTCTGGTTAATAGAGGTATCGAAGGTCGTGTTACCAAGATGACCTTCGCTAATGCAGTCGCCTAATCCAAGAATACAGTAATAAGATTCGCATTTTACTATCTCTCTCTTCCCCTCTGATTATTCTTATTACACAACGTTTCTGCGTAAAAACTAGAATACAACAAAACTGAACAAAACTAACATTTAACATATTGTATTCAATTTTAAAATAGAAAGAAATTCAGAGACAATTTCTTCAAATTTTCATATGCGAGGAATTTCATTAACTTTACGATAAGCCTTGGAAAATAAGAAAGACAATATTTATTCTTCAGTCTTTCATTCAGGATCACGATCAATATAATGGAAATGCCATACTATGACCTTTATCGACTGGAAGATCTCATCGCGATTTACAGTCTAGCGGGCGTCTGCGCGCGATCGTAATCGCGTTCGATCACGGTCACAATTCGCGCTTATTCGAGCAATTAAAAAAGACGAATAACACAACATGAAATGTGAACAACACATGCAGGTATAAAAGAAGAAAAAGGGGACAAAGAAGAGGAAGATAAAAGGTCAAAGGCGAACCTACTTCAGCGACTTGGAGATCAAAGACTAAACTTGTTCTTTTTTTGCATGCCGAGATTGAACGGAGAAGCATTCTTGTGACAATCTTAAACATTAGTTCGTAAATCGCATCCGTCCAAGAGGATAACATTTTATCAGTGCAATTAGTTACATTTAAATATTTTCATTACAAAGGAATTTAAATCTTTTAATTTAAGACTTTAATTCAAGTTTACATCACGAAATCAAAGTTTATATTGCGCGGAATAAATTTTTTACGTCATTTAAACCGATTTACAATTTCATTACAAATAAACTCCGTACGAGCTGATATTTCCGTTTGCGCGAGATGGATCATCAACCACAAATCGCTTCAACCTGCCCGTAAAGCAGTAACGCGTTTATTTTCGTCCGATGGTAGAAACTGATGTGAAAGCAATATTTGTAATATCATATATATATATATTGCAATATCTTCTATAAGATGTACTAACATTGAAGATTTCATGGTAGCGCTGTCAAATATTTCTTCGCGCTTCGAAAAAAAATGAGAGAGAGAGAGAGAGAGAGAGAGAGAGAGAGAGAGAGAGACTCATCTTACTGAGAATGAGATTCGTGATTGGTAAACGATTTGTCAGGCCGCCAGTTTACGATAACTTGTCTAATCGGTGAACTTTATGTGCATCGAGCCTCGTTTATTTTTAATTAAAAAAAATGTTCATGCTTTTCCCTTTTAGCCTGATGCAATTTTTTTCAATCTTTATTAATGTTGTACAATAATCATTTACGAATCCAAAAAGAAAATCCAATTTTTAATCCTTTCTGTGTAAAAATTAAATTAATTTTCGTATATTATTTTCTTTAAAATGCCTATTTTATATTTACCCTGACATACAAAAGCGATTTAAATCTTTTAAATATTTTTTTCTATCATTATCATCCCACGTTACATATTATCTATGTCAAAATCGGAGCATTGGCATCGCGGCTACGTCAGATGAATAAAAACGATATAATCAAGCGAATCGTCAGTATAAGCGCAAGAAGCAAACTCTCCACGCGCACGTACACACGCAAAGCTAATCATATCATTATGTCGATCTACGCAAACCTTGTACATTATATTCACCCCCGATCAAGGAGTTAATGGTTGTAAACAAAAAGAGAGACGAGAAAAGTATTAGCGGTTTTATTTATTTAATTCCTTAACTAAAATTATCAGAATTATTTTAAAGAACTGTAAAAAATCCAAGAAAATTTAATTAAAATTTGAAAAATTTTTTAAATCTAATTTATCGAAAACTTGACTTATTAAAAAATTTAAGAAAATTTAAAAACAAAAACTTTAAAAAATTTGAATCGATATTTATTAAATGAAAAATTAATCAATCAAAATTAAACACGTTTACTGGGAATGTTATAGTAGAATCTTCAACTCGGATTGCATCAGAAGATGAAGTATCATTATATGACATCTTCTATAACATTTTCACATTTTTCTTATATGTTTAAATGCCATTCTTTTTTCTGAAAGCAGTGTTTAAACACTATTCTTTTTTTAAACTATACGCGCGCTGAACTCACCAACTCCCCGGAAGATGATCCTTCCTCCTTTAATTCTCTTTTCTTTAAAAAAAAAAAACGAAGCCGCACGAAGCGAAATGCACTCGCGTTCGCACGTCCGTTCGGTGAAACACTTTCGCGCTTCCGGTCCTCAACTTTGCAAAGGGACCTTTTTTTAGAGAGAGATCCGCATCGAACGAACGACAGCGACAACGATGTCGACAACGATGATACGGAGCTCGACAGTGGACCTTTACATGGACGTGCGACGTCTCATGTAAAAATGACGACGATATTCTCTCGCGCCGGAACGACTGCCGGCGGTACAAGGGCGTCGAAGGTCGCAGCTGCGCGTCGCAGCACGCAGGTGCGTCTCTGTTTCTCTCTCTCTCCCTCTTGCTTGTTCACATATTGGTAGCGCGCGCGATTCAGAAACCGCTCAGACATGACACAACGCGACGCCGATGAAAACGACGTCTTCACTTTATTATCGTTAAAATATACAAGAAGATAAATTGTATTGCTGAAAGAAATAGGGAGAGAGAGGGGAGGAGAGAGAGGGAGAGAGAGAAGCCGCTCTTCTCAATTAATCGAGCCTTCATACCGTAATTAGAATGAAATAGGCAGAGATTATAATTTTTCAAAACATTATCTCACTCAAGAGGATTTTTTTAAATCATAATTTTTTGAAACTTCGTACATCCATTACATTAATCAAAATTAAAAAAAAAAAGAGAGAAGAAGTTATTGGAAAGTCGATGATGTCATAATATATGCAGCATTGCTTAATATTTTATATATTAATCTTTCACAGGTATCATATTGTTTGTAATTAATAGTAAAGTATAGAAATTAATGCTTTACATTTAAGTAGAATGTAGTAAAACATAAATCATTTCTTAATAGAAATTTATTTTTTAAAATAAGATCATAAATCTTATGGTATCAATAGTTTCTTTGTGTGTGTGTGTGTGTGTGTTGAGAGTATTATAAGACTACAGTTTAAACTTATATCTAGTTCGGATTCTTAAAATCGTTTGAAATAATTATTTCTGTACAATTTTTTTCTCAATTAAAAATTATCGCGTACAGTATTTATGTGATGTAGAGTACTACATTATACATGCATAGAACTTGAAAAAAAAAAATGTGCATATGGAACAGATTGCACTCCTAAGTACGTCAATAAAGCGTTTAAAATCAATTTGTGTGAATGTAGACGTAAACTGGACAGTTGCCTTCGCAAAATCAACGTGTAATCAACGGTAATGACAAACAAAATCAGTCATTGTAGATCTGTTCTTTGTAGCTGAACTAGTTTAATACTAAGATTATAAACTATGAACTAGTTCAACTAATGCAGTACCTACTTAAAATGAAGTAAATACATATTTGAAGTTTAGCGATATATAACAGAAAATAAAGTTTTTAATGCAATTAATCCAGTTAAATTAATCTAGATAAATTATATAGAACATCTTGTTGAGTATCGCTCAGGGCGATTTAAACTGTTCCTTGATTATATGAAAGAGATTCGACGAAACGTTGAAACACAGACCATCTCGACACATATTTACGACACCTGAACAAGTAATGTACTTTAACAAGCTGGGCGTATCGTCAAATTAAAGATTTGGCTAATATTTCTTTGGGTGATCGTCGATCGGTGTACGTTCCTGGCAGAATCACAAGATTCGCCACGAGAGGCGCAGCGTCGCGACGCTCGCCTTCCTCGTTCCCATACTGTGCTGCAGATTATGCCGCATTGCCGCAAACGTTCGTCATCGACGCGACCCGAGGGTCGTAGCGGCAACGGCAACGGCAGCGGCAGCGGCAGCGGCGGCAAGCGGATACGGCGAAACAGAATGTTGACGCGAAATACGGTGTCGTCGCGAAAGACGATGAGAGGACCACGAAGTCGGGTCGGAGTCGATGAGATTAAAAAAGAAGAGGAGAAAAAATAAGAAAATAAGAAACAAAAGAAAAATAAAGAAAACAAAACACAAGTTCGCTCACCTTGATCACCGTCAGGAACCTGACGATCGGCAGCGCGAACATGAACATCCGTAGGTTGCCCGGTTTCATGTACCACTACAAGTTCGTGACGGTCCTCCTGATGTCCAGCCTGTTTCTCGTAGTCTACCTGCTTCTACATTGGGGCATAATGTGCACGAATCTCGAGGCCTGGCGTCACGTGTCTACCGTGGTGAGTTTCACTGGGTGTTACTCCGATCGGAACAGGGTGCGCGATATCGCATCTTCGAACGCGATACCGATTGCGCGAGGATAAAGTTGGCATGGGGTGAATACGTCGAGATAGTGAAGATGTGCGAGTCGAGTCAGTGCCAAGTGAATCTTGCGCCCGCCGCGCCGGATTCGACGAAAGGGGATGAAAGAGCAAAGCGGACGCACGCGTACTCTGGCCGTAGCGCAGCCTCCGGAACGGAGCAAGCATGCCGATCACCCCGATCCGCAGCAAATTTGTACGTCTTACTCGCATACATATGTCTCAAACAAGCATGTATATACATTCGCGGATTTTCTCTACGGTACATCGTCTCGCGAGTGAAACTCAACAATCGCGTATTCCCCGATAAACTTGCAATCCGCGAGAAAATTCAAGTATGGACCGCCTGGCCGTCAAACAAAAGTAAAAATTCAGTACAAAGATCAATTAAAACATAATTTGCGTTCGTTGGAGGTCATTGATAAAATGTGGACTGCTATGATAAAAATTGTAAACTTTACATGATTCACTGATATAAACTTATCATTACGGAAGAGAAAGTCAAGTGTACTCTTGGCCCGAAACTGGAAAGTTCAGCTTTCCAGAAAATTGACCGAGAGATAACTTATCCGGAAAAAATTTACTTGCGATCGACTTTCATATACATATATCGTTTTGATTGAATAATTTATTGATAAGCATTTAGGAATTTGTTGATGGGAATTTACTTGTAAACTCAAATTGTAGTCTGATAATCTGGCAAAGCTGCATCCTAGTAACCCAAATAGTACTTCAGACATCGATCTCCATAAAATATTCCTAATTTTGTCGAGATCGATCCATACTTGAATAAGAGATTCCTAAAATGTTTCGAAATGTTTAACAATGTGTTTCTTTTAATTCCATACCACATCGAATAACGTCAACTACAAGATAAAGTTATTAAAATTATAATTCAGCTGTGATTTTTATTATATTTATATATAAATAAGATTGATTTTCTTTTTCGAATCGATAGGATATACATTTACTGTAATTACTAATGATTTTAAAAAGTTATGTAGATCACGTAGATTAAAGTTTATTGATTTATAGAAAAAAATGAAATTATTACATTGACTTATAAATTTTTGCTACAATATTAAATAATTTTTTTTACAAAATATATCGAAAGGTTTGCGTCAAGATTTTGTTAAAATTGTTGGAACTCTAGATTTCTTCATAATGTCTCTGGAATATCCTTTAGTAAGTACAATTGTAGAAAGATTTTAAACTATACAGGTTGAAATTTTGGCTGTGTCCGAGGAAACGCGCTATCAGCGCTATTATGTCATTCTATTCCTGGTTTACATCTAAAGATAAAATGACACAATGGTGTTGATAGTAAGTTGCCCGAACGTAGCCTTAATCAAGCCTAAAGTTGATGAAGTCTTATATGATTTAAGTCCTACATGTTACTGGTTATTACATTCTAACAGTACAGTCGTAGCATACAATTAAGAGGAAAATCGCTTATGTAATACTTGACTGACACACGCAAGAATGTCATGAGACAAGAGCGATAACATGTAATATTTTTTTCATAAGCTTTACTGATGTATATGCGCTCATTCAATTAAAAACTTTTTAAAAAGATTCAAATGTCATCAAATCATTCTAAAAATTTTTATAGTTTCTTAAAACATATTTTGATTGCACTTGTGAAATAAATGATAGAGAGAGAGAGGGGGAAGAGAGAGAGAGAGAGAGAGAGAGAGAGAGAAATGTGCAGATTTTTATTTTACCTACTGGACGTTAAACAAGAGGATGTTTAGAGAGAATAAATAGTATATTCATTATCTAATCGTCTAATGAATATAGATAGAAAAGTCGCATACGTACATTTTCATATAAATGGACATTCTAAATTAAAATTAAACTAAAAGAGATGGATTGCAACGTACATAATTTTAATTTAATAAAAAAGTATCTCTCCATCATATGATGAAAGTTATTTTTATTGGAAAGAACAAAGAGGTAGATGTATGTACTCCAACAGTGATGTAAGCATGTTGGCTTGACTTTTACTATTACTTCAAATGAATCACTTATCTATCCGTTGTATTTTTTGCATTTTTTAAGCAAAAAATATCACTATATATATATATATATAGTATATGTGTGTGTGTGTGTATAGTGTACTCTTGAAACATTCGTTTTCTATAATAAAACGTAATAGTGTACAATATCTAATAAAAGAGATAAGGCATTCCGTCTTGAGAGCGTTTTCGATAAGTGCCACCTCGGATGCGCAGAATGTGTAGTGCAGGCACGTATGACATGCCTGTACGAGAGCCGCGAAGTCGCGCCGTCCCTTCCCGAGACTGTTCCCTCATCGTAACTGATTGGGCCGACTAAAAATATCACACGAACGAGCCCGTGCAACATGACGTTGTACAACACGCACGCATGTAATACGAGTATGTATGTGGCTTACACGAATATGGGCGCCCACGCGCGCAACAGAGCCATGCTCTTTCATTGCTCTCGATTCTTGTGACTCGGACAGTGCGTTGCAAAAAGAAACTGTCCACTGAAACGAACCTTGCTAAAACGTTCGTTCAGCTTTGTTAATAGACTAATATTTATTCAAAACAAAATAGTACAAAAAAATCCTTGATTTATTCGCAGATAAAATTACGTATAAGTAAACCTACCTTTCCGTGACTCGCCGAATTTAATGAAACAATTGGTATATTTATAGAGCAAGCGAAAATAATAGACATGTATTTTTTTTATATCGGACAATGGTGCAAGTTTAAGGGTGTCAACTACTCTTATAGTGATAAGCACAAGTACTGAATTTCTTTCTCTGTATTTTTGCTCTATTACAGCTAGGGTAGAGCGGGACTAATTGTGACACTTCTTCTTTAAGTTATTATAAATCTTCACACAATTACGATAGACTAATGATAAATGCTTTAAAACGTTGCATGTTCATCTGACTCAATAATTAAGTACTTAATATATCTTGTAAATAAGAAAAAAATTACGTTAATTACAAGGATGCAAAGTGGATCAATATGCCCCATCTATGGGACATGTTGAGCATCCTCGAAGGATAAGTTGAACTATGAAGATAATCGTTTAATGAGAGGTTATATATTATTAAAAACATGAAAGGATTATGTGTATATTAATCAAAGTTTTATTATTTTCATCTTAAGTATAATAATTTGTAATACTCTCTCTTTTTAAATGCTTTAATTAACAAAATTAGAAAAACTAAAATCTTTTCTCTTTATAATAATAATTAAACGTAAAATATATGATTAATCGTTGACATAGAATAAAAAGTATCGATAAAGACAAATTTTATTTAAGCAGCTGAGTTTATAAGGTTAGTTATGGGATACTGAGGCCCAACAAGCCCCATATCGGTATTGAGACTGAAATATTTTTTTATAACTGAAAAACCGTAAATAAAATAGCAACTTGAACATTAAAGTTAAAAAATACGTTAATAATTTATATCTAAAAAACACATTTGATTGTTATTAATCTATATATATTAATCGCTTTAAGGGGATCCTAATAAGCCGCCTGTATTACTAAATTATATAATTTTTGTATAACAAATACTTTTTTCTCTTTCACAGATTCGAAAATCCTTTTTCAGGATTAAAGTATACAATTAAAGCATTAATACGTGAGGTGGAGTTTATGCCGAGAATGATCAAAAATTTCGAAATTAATATATTTTTTACCGTTTCTTAGTGTAACATGGCGTCTCAAGCTGTCAAGTCGTAACAACATTTGTTTGATATGAAAGTTTTCCAACCTGTATTTACGAAATAGTGAGCCACAAACACGTAGTTTGCACGAACAAATAACGTCGAGTACTTAGAATTAGACTTAGACGCTTTATCGCGACGAATTTGTTATACGAAAATTGACACGAATTTGCGACTGAATGTATCATAGGTTGTATGAGATATTGGTGTGGTAGTATATACAGACATGTCGATGCGCTGGAAAAACAGCGACATCTAGTAATTTTGTCGGAGTTCGAGCTTCGCTTTAGGATCCCCTTAATTACCATGTAGACCAAAAAGAATACTCGCCTAATAATTTTACTTTTGATGTAGGAAAACGAAAATGCGCACGTATTTGACTGTTGACAGTCGGGCACTGATTATTGTATTAAGCGCAGTAATCTCTGTCTTTGTGCTACCTTACGCAACATAGACGTATCTATATATATTTTGGTTATTTAGATATTTGTGCATTTAGATTTTTGTCCAACTTTCCCCTATACGCAACTAGCCCTGTTCTACCCTACTTCTGAATTTTAAAGATGATAAGGGGCTTTCATGTTTCCTTATCCACTTATTCACAATAGTATTCGAGACATGATTACGATAACTGTGATCCCTCAAAATGAAAGATTTTTGGAAACATTTTTAGCGGGGAATACGAGAGAAATAGTAAAAAAAATTCTATAATCAACAGATACCAAAATAATTAATAATTACGAACCAAAAAATCATCGCTTCGCGTGGAAAGTCGTGTCATCGTATGCCCTGTAGCAGGAGGGAGGTGGGATGGGAGTTGTTTCGCGCGGAAAGTCGCGCGCTCCGTAGCAGGAGGAAGGTGGGGTAGAAGTCGCTTCGCGTGAAAAGTCATGCATCCCGTAGCAGGAGGGTGGAAGTGGCTTTGCGTAGAAAGTCGTGCGCTTCGTAGCAAGGGAGGAGGTGAGATGAGAGTTTTAATGTATCTTGTCAAGATGTCAATATGTCCTGAATAATCTCTAGAATATTTTAGTCGACAATCATTGTTTATTAAAATTATCAAATTCAAATCATAAAATTGAATTATGATTATCAAATTAAATATTGATTATAGAATTTTTTTACTATTTTTCTCGTGTTACTTACTAAAAATGGTTTCAAAAATAACTTTTATTTTGAGGGGTCTCGGTTATTGTAATCGTCCCATATTCGATCACATAAGGCATGTTCTTTTTAGCTGAAACTTTTGCGTCGGTTCGTCTTTGTTCCTTTTCTCTCCAGGAGGAAAGAAGAGGAAGAAAGATGAACCGGTGTAAAAGTTCAGCTAAAAAGAACAGGCCTATTATTTCCATTTTAGTGCAGCCAGCACCGAGATGGTACAGCGATGGGAATTCTCTGCGAACCATTGTGCACAGAAAAAGGGATAAATTCGCTAGCATGCGAGACACTTCACGCGGGCAAAGAAGCTGTTTTCTCTGCGCATTGGGAAGCGACACGACTTGTATTCAAGGCTTCGAGGTATTCCTTCGTTCTTTTTTCACACTATGCGATAGAACCAAAAAATCGCGCGCTTTTTTCAGCTTTTTTAATTTTTTTTTTCGTTACTTACTTTAAAATATTTTTTAAATATTTTATATATATAAATTAAGTCATATATATAAATTAATCTCATCTTAATTTGCATATAGGACTAAAATCCCCTCGGAGCAATTCGAGTCGCTCTATTGGGTGGATGCGACCGGATTGCAACACTTCCCATCTGAGGAGGATTTTATCATCATGATCAAAGATTTAGCTATCAATAAACTCAATGTGACTCTCACGCGACATCAGCTAGAAAGACTCGCCCGGTTGCGCACCCATCGAGTCGAGACCGATGCCACGAGACGTCGGTTGGAGATGGAGAATCTTTGGCCGTTGCTGCAAGAGAATGAATATTTAATGGCGATTTTGTACGAAGACAGGGATGTGTTTCCGCAGCCGATCGGCACGTGCGGCACATTCTACGCGGTCGAGTACGTCCGACCGATCGAAACACCCACGACGGTGTTAGCGTTGTCCGATTCGAAACCCGAATGGGCCAAAAGATTAAAACTCGCTGTGATGATTCTTAATCTACTCGAAGAATTGGAGACGAACTTTCCCGAGCCACTTTATCTCTGTGATGTAAAAATTAATCATTTCGGTTTACCCTTAGGCGGGCAAAAACTGAAATTCTTAGATCTGGACGCAGTCTTCCCTAAGACCATTATCGATCGTATTATCAGTGATGGTAAGAGCTGTGAGAAGCATGAGGACTGTGATTATTTCGATTGTCGGTCTATCTGCTCGAAGGAAAAACGCTGCGAATCTCCGGTCCTTAATAATAATTTACAGGTAAAATTAATACTATTAAGTACTTTTTTTTGTTATATTTGGTATTATACATATTTAATTAGTAGAGGAAAGTCGCCGATACCGACATACCACTTTACTTTTAGACTTTTTATGAAATTAACTTTAGTAATTAAATTTGAAAAGTAATATTTTATTCGTCAAATTTATAAAGATTTTGCGTGTAATTTAATTTAAAAAAACGGAAAGATCTACGAAAGATAGAGGAAAGTCGCCGATACCGATACATACTCCTTTGTTTTTAGACAATATTTCTTAAACAAAAGATAAAAACAAAACTTTAAAAACGTAAGTACAAACTGAAAAGTGTCTTCTATCAGATAGTATATGCAGTTTTTATACTGTTTTTAATACTGTTATTTTTAATACTGTTTGCAATTTTGCAATAATTAATTTTTTTGTAAGGTAAGTAAAAATGAGCGTCTGACAAAATGGGCTCCAAAACTGACACAGTAGGCAGTAATGCTACGTATTCATATTTTTTTTTATTTTACAAGCATTATCTGTATAAAGTACCTATAAGTGAATGTATATAAGATTTTTCAAAATCTTTTCACTTCGTTATAAAACATTTTTATTGAATTATATGCATATTTATTTTATGCTGTTCTGCAAGATACTAATATGTAATGCGATAGTTTTTCAAGAGTTTTTCCATATATGCGTGATTGCCTTCAGTTCCAATAGACTTACTTGACGCTATAAAGCAACATTATAAAGATTAAATTAGCTCATGGTCTGTTTTACAGACAGGTGTGGCAAATTACGCTGCACCCCAATTTTAAATTTAAAATCGTATTATGAAAAGACTATAAGAGAAAAAATAATATAAATAAAACTGATTTAGGAAACTACAAGCATTTAAAATGACATAATATTATCAATAATATATAGTCACTATTATTTAAACCACGCAATTTGCAAAAGAAAATCGTAAAAATTTTATTTTCACATTCGTAGAATTCGTTTTTAGCTGATTTGGTATAGAAACAAGCCGCAAATATATGGATTATGAGTTTGTACTTCTTTAATTAGCTAAACAGATCATGATTTTATTAGTATTAATGAAGTGCAATAGTTAGTTTCTGAGAAATAAGGAGGTGTCACTTTAGAAGACCTATGTCAGTATCGGCGACTTTCCTCTATATTTTTCGTACACGTATGAAAGCGTATTAGGGAGCTTTTGCAATAGCGTTTATCCAGATACAGTGAACGCTAAGGTCAGGTTATCTTCTTCTTAACGACTAATTAAGAAAAGGATAGCGTGACTTTAGCGTTCACCATATCTGAATTCACGTTATTGCAAAAACTCTCTATTATTTCAAATATTTTGACAGTATTTTCGATAAAATAATGCATTATCGTTATACTGCGTATTACTCCTTGTTCCATATCTTCCTATGGAAGTGGAATTAATTAATACAAACTCTCTAAACATGGATAAACTTTCAGTTGTTATTACTAATTTTAATATTATTTCAATTTTGTTATAAATTTCTGTTACGAGAGTTATGTACGATTGTAGATTATTTGTGAGAAGATTTTTCTCGGTTGGACGCTATCAGGGACGATAATAATTCCTGGATTGCTCATGTCGGAGCATACTACTAGCACATTGGCAGTGTTATTGAGACAATGCTCTAATCCAGACGGCGGCACGACACATTTATCACGTGCGGCAGCGCCAGACAACCTACAGAAACGACTTTACAACATGTTAAGTGAGATGGAACAAGAATACTCGACATTTACGTGAAAACAAAATAAGTAATATTATAATAATAAAAAAATAATTTATCTAAAATTACGAAATCGAGTGTCGCCTTTTCGATGCTGATGATAAAAACTCTATAAATTACAATCAGAAATACAGGAATATTTCTCTCATATTATAAAGATTTTTTATAAAGATCGAAATCGTAAAAATGACTATTTATATTTCAAGTTAGAAATCAGTACGTACCTACGTACCTACATGCAATTGCACACTTTTATGTTACATATTAGTATTGTATACAGGATGTCCCATAACTCTTAATCTGGAGACGCGGTAGCGTCTCTCGTAAAGTATATTTTTGAAGTTTAGTACATTAAAATCTTTTTTATATTATTATGAAAGGGACACTCTACCATTAAAGAAACGCTAAAGCATATCCTTTGCAAAAAGGAGGACGCTTATATAATAAAAATTATTGTTTTGTTTAAATAAATTGAGATTATAAAAAATGCATATATTGAGGAAGAATATAGATTTTTACAATTAAAATGAGATAACAACCATGTCCGTAAGGCCGGAATTAGACTACACATTGAAGATTGAGATTGAAGATTGAAGATTGAAATTTGATCAGTGAAAGGATAAAAGAATTTAGCTCCTCACTGGCAGATCCATAGGAATCATGACTGCTCTCCTTGGAGTCTCCCTTTTAAAAAATATTTTATAATAAAATGTTACATATATTTTTAATATTTCTAAAATGCTTAATTACAATTTTGATATTACTTGATATTATTATAATTAAAAATATTTTTTAATTTAAGAAATTCCTAAGTTTTTGCGGCTTAAAGCTTAATACTGCTCTATTGTTAATATCGCGTTATGCAGCGTTATGCGAAAGTTACTAATTGCAAGACTATATAAAATATTACTTTATCTACCGATAAATGTCCCTTCTGCTCAACGAAGTTTTTCAACCCTTTGGCATTTCTAAGTTTGGTTAAGAGATCGTATGAGTGAAGGAAAACTTTTGGGGCTTGTGTGTTGTTACATGCATACATAAACATATAGAAATTGTTAAAGAAATAGTGTTGAATAGATTTACCAGAAGTAGAAAGTGCAAGTTAGATATTTTATTGTAAAATGTTATGCCTATATATTTTTTGTTTTTGCTGATATAATTTTAAATAAAATGTTTTATGAATTAAATATTTACATAGTACTTTTTCAATCCAATGTTAATGATAATTCAAATAGTCTATCTCTTCGTGTTTGACTTTGTGTTTAAAAGTTGGGCAACTCTCCGTTGGCAACCGCGACTATCTATTGCAACCGGAAGTAGCACTTTGCAACTAGTAGTTGCTAACCTTTGCGACTGGCAACGGGGTGTTTGCAACTTATTGTAGAACGGCCTTTATGGTTATTGTAAAGCTGGTTTTACATTAGTTGCATTGCAGCGTCGCAAGTGTTGCGGTCTAATCAGAGTCGGGCTAACTTGTCATTGATTGGTCCGCAACGCTTGCGATGCTGCGATGCGACTAATGTAGAACCAGCTTAATGTAGAACCAGCTTTATGCGTGGTCAACAATGAACAGTAGCAGTAGAGACTGTAAGGCCGGAATCAGACTACGCATTGATGATTGAGGTTGAAGATTGAAATTTGACCAATAAGGACAAAGAAATTTTAGCTCCTTTCGTTTCGATTGGTCAAATTTGAATTTGTCAATCTTCAATCTCAATCTTCAATGCGTAGTCTGATTTCGGCCTAAGGGTGAAATCACACGGTGTGAAAAAAGACTGCGGAATAGAGAATGCGTCATTGAACAAACCAATCAACGCTATTCAGCGCTATTCGGAATAGCTCTGATTGGTTGCTTCAATGACGTAGTCTCTATTCCGCAGTCTTTTCCCGC